TTGAGGCCTTTATTAGTTTTAGGTGTGCCTGCCTTGTGTTAGCACTTAATGGTTACTCTGATGGGCAGGGTGTGTGTATGGACTGCTATCTTGCTCTTTCTGCTGTCTATCTTAGGAGCTTGCTCGATTATTAGTAGATTTACTCGTGTAGCAGGGGAATTATTTGGCCTTCTGATTGCCATGCTTTTCATGCAGGAAGCTGTAAAAGTGAGGAAACCAATCTTTTTTCTTTCTTTGTCCTTCTATGTTATCAGCTGAGCAACAGAATTGACTAAAATTACTTTAATTCTAACGTGACTAAGAATTTAGAAAAACAATAACATAACTTGCAAAAGATTTAGTTTTTCAATTGTTGATTTATTTATACAATGCCTCCTACAGTTTTGCTGAAGTTTTTGATTTATATGGGGGTTTGTTAGGGACTTGTCAATGAGTTTGGTATACCTAGGAGAGAGAATCCAAAGTCAGTTGAGTTTCAACCTTCATGGAGATTTGCGAATGGGATGTTTGCTTTGGTACTATCATTTGGACTTCTGCTAGCTGGATTAAGGAGCAGAAAAGCTAGGTCTTGGCGCTATGGTTCTGGTAAGAACATTGAACTTTGAGTGAAACTTCCAGTCACCCAACTTCATGTCTGTATATCCAACACCAAAATATCAAAATCACCGAGTCACTGAAATTATTACCGTTACTTTTTATAGGATGGCTTCGAGGCTTTATAGCAGATTATGGTGTGCCTTTGATGGTTTTGGTCTGGACTGCTGTTTCTTATATACCATCAGGAAGTATTCCAAAAGGAATCCCAAGGCGTCTTTTTAGCCCCAATCCATGGTCACCAGGCGCATTTGAGAACTGGACTGTCATGAAGGCATGACTAATCGATAGAATTTGCAGTTTTCCCATCTTCTAGACACAAAAGTCGTATTAACATTCTATTTTGTCAACTCAACAGGATATGCTAAAGGTGCCATTTCTTTATATAATTGGAGCTTTCATTCCAGCAACAATGATTGCAGTCCTGTATTATTTCGACCACAGTGTAGCATCTCAGCTTGCTCAACAGAGAGAATTTAATTTGAGAAAACCACCTTCTTTCCACTATGATCTACTTCTCTTGGGATTTATGGTACATAAGAATTCTGCTCTCCTGCTCACCACCCCTTTTGATTTACTTTGCTTCTAGATGACAAAAGTAGGGAATTGGTAAATATTGAAAATTTTGTGGCAGGTCATACTGTGTGGTCTTATTGGAATTCCTCCGTCAAATGGTGTCATTCCACAATCTCCAATGCATACTAAGAGTTTAGCAACACTGAAGCACCAAGTATACATCTCAACTATGCGACTGACTGTATTATTCTGCATTTCCATTCCTCGGCCTCTGATTGATAGTTCATGTTTGCCACCAGCATGAGCATCCTTAAAATTCCCAGAGATAAATAATGAAAAAATTGAAAACACTTGATCACATGGACATTCATATGCACCAATCCACTGACAAATGCTTAGTTTTTTCACACTAGTTCTTGTATGTCATGTGCAGATACTTCGTAATCGACTTGTGGCAACAGCACGCAAATGTATGGGTAAGGATGCAAGTCTAGGGCAAGTGTACGACAGCATGCAAGAAGCTTATCAACATATGCAGACCCCGTTAATTTACCAAGAACCTTCTGCTCGGGTATTTCCACTTGTTTATTGTTTTGTAGATACTACATACATCAAAAGATTACTGTTGATGATCAAATTGTCTCCAATTGTAAGTATCATAGTTGTGAATCCGGCAGCCTAGGAATTTAAGATGGCAAATAGCAACCAAAGGTGTAGGAAGTTTCGAGAAACTGAAATCATCTTGAGATAATTTATGCATAACCTTTTGGCAGCAAAATAATCGTGGTTCTTAAATGTTTTTCTCTGAAATATGATTGATTAGTATGGGCTCACTATTAAAATGCCTGCACTCGTTGGCATGTTGCGTGGGCAGGGATTAAAGGAGTTGAAAGAGTCAACAATTCAGATGGCGGCAAGCATGGGAAATATTGATGCCCCAGTAGATGAGACAGTATTTGACATTGAGAAGGAGATTGATGATTTATTACCAGTTGAGGTGAAAGAACAGCGGCTCAGTAATCTGCTTCAAGCTATAATGGTGGGAGGATGTGTTGCAGCCATGCCTTTCATTAAGAAGATCCCAACCTCAGTACTATGGGGTTATTTTGCATTTATGGCCATTGAGAGCTTACCGGGTAATCAGTTCTGGGAGCGCATCTTACTGCTGTTCACTGCTCCAAGCCGGAGATACAAGTAGCCACCTGGGACCACTTTCTTCTCCCTTGTTTTTATCTCATCCGTCTCTCTGATTTTCTTGGCAAATAACTAAACTCTATTCTTTTGCCTCCTCGTTTTTTTACCTTTTCAGATTGCTGGAGGAGTACCATACCAGTTTTGTGGAAAGCGTACCTTTCAAGACAATTGCGATATTCACAATTTTCCAGACTGCTTATTTGCTCGTCTGTTTTGGTATTACGTGGATTCCAATTGCTGGAGTTCTTTTCCCTTTGATGATCATGCTTTTGGTTCCTGTGAGACAATACATTTTGCCCAAGTTTTTCAAAGCAGTGCACCTTCAGGATTTGGATGCAGCAGAATATGAAGAAATTCCCGCTTTATCATTCAGTCTAGCAACTGTAAGCTTTTTATTCTCCCTCCTTACAAGTAGTTTTAAGTCGGTAGCTTTTATTGCCTTAATATCTGATTCACATTAATATTTGACAAAACAAAGAAAGCAATTATAGTGTTATTACATAAGCATATGTCGTTTGTCGATCATGTGCATTCAACTATACAGTCCTGTTGTAATTTTAATGTAACTGAAGTTTTCGACAGGCACAACGAGGGGTCAATCAGTTACTCATGGCAACTTATGTTTCCTGCATGTTTGATTGATTGTTTGATATCAGGAGGCAGAGATGAGCAGGGCAGCTTCATTTGCAGATGATGGAGAAATTTTAGACGGGATCATCACTCGTAGCAGAGGGGAGATAAAACGCATGTGCAGCCCCAGAGTACAAAGTTCTGATGCGACATCATCAAAGGAATTCGGGAGCATTCAGAGCCCACGGTTTTCCGATAAGGTGTATAGCCCTCGAGTTGGTGAAGTGCGAGGGGATTGTAGTCCTCGATTAGGCGGAACTGGAAGAGGACCATTTAGTCCGAGAATCGGAGAATCAAGATTATCAAATTTAGGAAAAAGTGGTTAGAATTAGAAAAAATATATACAGCGGGGGGGGGGGGGTTTGC